AAAAATGATAAAAATTTCAAGCTCCAATCGTGGGATTCTTCCCTACTAACCGTTACAGGATTGCTCCCAACTGGCTTGTAAACAGCAACAGGCCGAATGCGCTTTAATAATTGAGGGTAGCTTTCAACTTACGCGTCTGATGGCCTGCCAACCCTAATTCAAAAAGACTAGCAATCAATATTCCCAGTCAATTCATCAAAAGGAAAAATCATCGAGGATTCATGAGCAAACAAAATTCAAGAAAATGACATTCTAGCAACCCCATATTATTTTTATGATTATCCAAGAAGATTAACTTCTTGCCCCCAATTCACACCAACGAAAACTTTTCTTTTTCTCCATACGAAATCAACCTCAATGAGAAACCACACATCTTGTAATATTCCTCGCAATTTCTTGTAGTTGTGTTGAACCAATTAAACTCTTGGATCTCTTTTCTCAAGGTATAGGATTCAAATTTTGAATTTTTTCTTGGAAGAATGTATAAAAAAGGAATATATATAATCGTTTGGGATAAACAAACTTGTTTGGGGAATGAATTTAAGGAGCTGTCGTGCAAGTTTTGATGGGGTTGGGAATGGAACATAGCAACTTGGTAGGGACGAAGAATATGCACTATTCAACATCTAAGAAGATCGAAGAAAGCTTGATCACATAACAAAAATTAAACATGAGTCCCGTTTAGCTTTTCTTTCTCACACTGTTTTTCTTTTATAATAACTGTGCCGACCATGATTGATGATAACTGAAGTTGATTACATAACTACATGAAAACGATCCAACTTTGTTTTTCTAATATACCGGAAATGATTAGTACATGGGGAAGCCGAACTATAACAGATAAAGAAATTACTAACTCATAAGTCTTCATAATTTTTATTTATTTATTATTATCATTTTTAGATTCATCACTTAAATCTGAAATATATCAAAGGAAGAAGATTATTATTAAAAAATAGTATTTATTTACTTTAACTCTTAAAGATTAAAAAGAAAATTATTTCAAAATTACGTCGTTTTCATAAATTTTTATTAAAAAATTATTTTTTTAAAACATAAATTAAAGTGTTTTTTTTATAATATTTTATTAAAATTATATAATTTTAAAATAATTTTATTTTAATTTTTAAAAAACAAGACAGATAAACATTACTTTCGTTATTAAATCTATAGTTTTGTCGTTTTGGATACGTACAAACTTTCCTGATGTATAGATCTTCTCGAAAATAGCTATTTTTACAAAACCTCATGTCCACTTTCTGTAGTACAATTATCAGTGAAATGGAACTTATGATTCAGTACTTAATGTTGAACATGGTGAAATGATATTTGCTGACACTAAAATCCATTTTAGGTTTAGGCATTATTGGTGGCGAGGGCCCGTTCCAGCTAAATGCCACAAGAAGGTTTAGTGGGGTGAAAAAACAAGTTTATTTTGGTCTTCATAGTCTGATTAAGTAATTAGGACACTACATAGATTGATTTTCTCACGGAACTAATTCAGACACGTCTTACCTAATCTTATGTTCACATTCAGGCTTGAATAATAAATTTGTTTTAGTCCCTCTATCCCATATTAATACTGCATTCACCAATAAATTGTTGATCCGAATGAAAAGAGTTCGGTTTCCCTTAAATAAAATCTTAAGTTTGGGTCTTGTGAATGAAAAAACAGGTACTGAAAGAGTTTCCCTCCATATGAAGTGTGACTCGGCTCGATTCCAAATTAATTAGGATTTAATGTGGTTTCTGGATACAATAAGGTTAATACAAAAAAAAAAATAGTAATACTGCATTCATTCTAAAATAATTATCATCTTTTCTCTTTAAAATTTGTTTTAAAATAATAATTATTTTTTATATTTTAAAAAAGAGAAATATTTTTTTTTATTTTAACATTATTATTATTATTATCTCTTTTGATTTTAATTATTCATTCTAATATTAAAAAATTATTTTTATTTTTTAAAAAATAATATAAATAAAAATTTTAATTGTGTTTAAATTTTTAATAAAAAAAAGATAAAACTTGATTCAGGATTAGCGGTGGTGCAGTTCTTCCACTACATATGGGCCTACACTCTGGCAATGATAGTGCTTGTGTTGAAGAAAGTTGAAAGGTGGGAACCGAGGCAGCTGCTTTTTCTTTTTGTCATCATCCTTAACAGCCTCAAATTAGTGGTGTCTCCACCATTATCACTTTCTAATCATCCAAATTTGGGTGAAAAGACATTACACTTGAAGCATTAATTTTAGAGAAATATATAATATTTTCTTAAACTTTCAAACAGACATGCAATTTAGGGAATATCCCTTTTCAACATAAAGTAGTACTTCTGATATTTTAGATTTTCATTTGTGGGGTTTTTTTTTTTTTTTTTTTATATTTTAGATTTTCATTTGTGGGGGTTTTTTTTTTTTTTAACAGTTACAATTTTTAGGTTGGGTTCAAAACTCAACCATTGGATAAGAAATATACTTACAGTATGATTTATAATTATGGGTCAAGAAGGTCAAGTGTGCTTTTCATTTGTAGTTGTAATTTTGGATATTTTAAAAAAGTACTACTTCCATATTACAGCATGTTCATTGAGTATTTAGAGGTAAAATTAATGACAATGGTTGTAGTCACCATTAAATTTGTTAAGATTATGAAAAATTATTCAATTTTTATCTTAATTGATTATTAAAAATAATTAATAATTTATAAAACAATTAATATTTATATTTAACATATTAAAATTAATTTATAGATAAATATTTTAAAATATCATAACTAATTATTAAAAAAATTATAAACTAATAAAATTATAATTAAATTAATAATTTTAACGAATTTAATAGTCACAATAACCTCATATCAAATTCATTTGTGCTGGGCTTATGGACAACAAGCAAATCAGCGTCATTTGTTGAATACAATGCAGTGACCTGTAAAGTTTTAGAAATAGTGCAAAAGTTAGAAGTAATTGCTTCCCAATTATCTTCTACATGGGATTCTTCATGTTTCCTTGACTATTGAACAAATAATGGAGTTGTACATTTTTTCCCTTACACATATTTTATGAAACCAACAGGTTTTTCTAATGACTCGTACAATTTCTCATATCTCTTATTCCTTTGCTAAAGCTTACTCGAGTTCATACTCAATAATTATGGTATCAAGAATAAGGTTTAAACTTTGTAATACTAAGCCAACTCATTTATGGAATTTGAAATCCTAAACCTGAATGTTTCATTATCAAACCTGTTAGAGGACCAAAACAAGCAATTATGTATTCTTTATGAGATATGTACCGGATTCAGATTATAAGATCCTTAATGTGGGGTCGTTGCATTATGTTAGGTATAGGAAGAAGGTGTAAACATGTTATTACTTCAACACTCGAATCATTATCAATTAGTGATTACAGGGATCCTAAATGATTAAATTTTGATATTGTAGTAAAATAAATTCATGTCGATTATTGAAGGATGAAATTATTCAAGTAGTCTTAGGCCTGTTTAGTGGAGTTTTTTGGAGTTATTATTTTTTATTTTTTATATTATTTATGAGTCATAAGTTTAAATTTTTATTAGAGGAAAAATTTTAAAATTATTTTAAAAATAATAAAAAGTGAGTAAAAAAAATTTATAAAAAATAAACATTTAAAAATTTTCAAAATTCACTATTTAAGATCTTTTTAAAATTAAAAAAAATAAAAAAATATTTTAACTTATAAAATATAAATAATATCAAAAAATTAAAACACTTACAAATTTTACTAAACATGCTCTTAATCTTGGCCTTTCACAATAACGTATGAAGAGACACTCGGCTAGAGAGAGATAATTGGGTCGGCTCAAAAAATTTTGTTTTGAACTGATTACAAATAAGGGATGGGGAATGGAATTTAATTTAAGGTATTAGAGATGCACTTTCAAGGTAATAAAGTCACTAGGCCAAAAAAGTCGTATGCTGGGTCGGCTCAATATTGAATGAATAAATATAAGAAGATAATATCTAGAACTTTACTCTTAAGTTTGTAAACCTCAACGCACATGTGTATATATATACATATATATTTATAAAATTAATGATTAAAAAATTAATATTGTTGAAGATTAACAATTGAAAATTCGATGTCAAATCTCATGAACAGCCCACCAATTTTAACGGTACACGCGGCGTTCAAGCCCCTTGGTGGAGTTCCAACGCACGTATATTTCAGTCTAATATTTTATAATTCTTCCGCGTGAAATTTTCCACATATCGTGACTCCACCACACCATATGAACTTTCTAGTCCAAATTCATCATGTATAAACGACTCATGGAGACCCCAATTCAGCAAACCCAGTAGACCTACAGAATCTTGTTTCTTGCTCTGTTCTCACATCATTCTCTCCAAGATGAAGCCTTTGAAGCTCAAGTTTCTAGAAATTTCTCTGTTTTTTCTTATACTCTGTTTCACGCACGTGGTAGCAGATCAATCCAGGACAACATACATAATTCACATGGACAGGACCAACATGCCGGAGAGCTTCACCGATCATGTTCAATGGTATGACTTCTCGTTGAAATCTGTTTCTGATTCTGCTTCCATGTTGTACACTTACAGCAACGTAATCCATGGCTTCTCCACCACTCTGACTGCTGAGGAAGCCGAGGCACTGGAAGAGCAACAGGGGATTCTCTCTGTAATTCCTGAATTGAGATATGAATTGCACACGACTAGAACACCCCAGTTCCTTGGGTTGGGGACGAGCAGTAATTTATTCCCCACGTCTGATTCGCTCAGCGAGGTTATTGTTGGTGTGTTGGACACCGGTGTCTGGCCGGAACTGAGGAGTTTCGACGATGGAGGGCTTGGGTCGGTGCCGATGAAGTGGAAAGGGGAGTGTCAGGTGGGTAAGAACTTCAATTCGTCCAGCTGCAATAAGAAACTAATTGGTGCAAGGTACTTCTTAAATGGGTATGAAGCAGCCTTCGGACCGATCGATGAAACCGTCGAATCAAAATCGCCAAGAGATGACGACGGACATGGAACTCACACGTCAACTACGGCGGCTGGGTCGGTGGTTCTGGACGCTGACTTATTTGGTTTTGCTTCAGGGACAGCGCGGGGAATGGCTACACAAGCCAGAGTTGCCATTTACAAGGTGTGCTGGCTTGGCGGTTGTTTTGGGTCTGATATTTTAGCCGCCATCGATAAGGCTGTTGCAGACGGCGTGGATATCTTGTCTATGTCGATCGGTGGAGGATCAACAGAGTATTACATGGACACTGTGGCTATAGCATCATTCTCGGCAATGGCACATGGAATTCTTATTTCTTGCTCTGCCGGCAATGGTGGGCCGTCGGAAAGTAGTTTGTCCAATGTTGCACCGTGGATAACTACAGTAGGAGCCGGAACTTTGGACCGTGATTTCCCCGTCTCTGTTACTCTAGGCAACGGGAAAAATTACTCCGGCGTCTCACTTTACAGTGGAAAGACAATATCTAATGTCATGGTGCCTATTGTTTATGCCGGAAATGTCAGTAATTCAAGCAGTGGTAATCTCTGCATGACCGGAAGTTTGATTCCGGCTAAAGTCACGGGAAAAATTGTGTTATGTGATCGAGGGAGCAACTCTAGGGTGCAGAAGGGATTGGTGGTGAAGAAGGCTGGTGGCACTGGGATGATCTTAGCCAACACGGAGTATTACGGGGAAGAGCAGGTCGCGGACGCACATCTATTGCCTTCATCGGCGGTAGGGGAGAAAGCTGGCGATGCTATCAAAAAATACATCTTTACCGACGCTAACCCAACCGCCACAATAGGCACTGGAACCACAAAGCTGGATGTTCAACCATCTCCAGTGGTGGCGGCGTTCAGTTCTAGAGGTCCAAATCCAGTCACTCCCGAGATACTTAAACCGGACATTATTGCACCAGGAGTGAATATATTGGCTGGGTGGACGGGTGGTGCTGCTCCGACTGGTTTGGATGAGGACCAAAGAAGGGTAAACTTCAATATCATTTCAGGCACATCAATGTCTTGCCCACACCTAAGTGGGTTAGCAGCTCTAGTCAAGGCCGCTCATCCTGAGTGGAGTCCAGCAGCCATTAGATCCGCCCTCATGACTACCTCCTACACAGGGTACAAAGATGGCAAAATCATCCAGGATGTTGCCACCGGACTACCAGCAACCCCGTTTGATTATGGTGCCGGGCACGTTGATCCAGTAGCAGCCCTTGATCCCGGCCTTGTTTATGACAATGCTGTTGAAGACTACTTGTATTTCCTCTGTGCCTTGAACTACTCAGCAACTCAAATCAAGCGAGCCACAAACAGAGCCTTCACCTGCGATTCAAGCAAAACGTACTCACTAGCAGATTTCAATTACCCTTCCTTTTCAGTCCCTCTCGAAACTGCTTCAGGAAAAGAGGGCGGTGCCAGCGTCACAACCACATTGAAATATTCCAGGACCGTGACTAATGTGGGTACGCCGGCAACATATAAGGTTTCGCTGGTTTCACAAGCAAAAGAAGTCAGAATTGCAGTTGAACCATCATATCTAAGTTTCAGCGAAAAAGGTGAGAAGAAGAGCTATACTGTGACATTTACGGTTAGTTCCATGCCATCTGGAACAGTCAGCTTTGCTACCCTGGGATGGTCAGACGGGATACACACTGTTAGTAGCCCGATAGCTTTCACCTGGACATGATACTAATGGCAATTGTAATGGTAGATGACTCTAAATACTGGATTGCCACAGTGCCTGCAAAGCACAAACAGTCTTTCTTTACAGCATAATGATCTGTTCTGTACTTTCAATATTGTGGCAATTGTGCAGGCAATGGCAGTTGTGTGTGTAACAAAACATTGAGAAAATCAGGGGGCAAGAATAACTATAAATGGTGGAGGAGGGCTTGGGATTGCAAATAATTGTACAGCAGCCCGTGGTAGGGACTGTCAAGGTGAATTTAGACAGAATTCCCAGTTGTCTTTCTTGTTTATAGATTTAGGACTCTCGTAAAGTTCTCATCTTTCATGGCATGCATTAAAAAAGAGCAGAAAAATGAAAATAGGAGTTGTCGATTTCATAATCTTTTCCTAAAAGAAATCTGCACAAAACTCACAGCCTAAAGGAATCAAGGATGGTTAATCACTTGATCTACTACAGATTTTGAGTCTCCACAGCAAGTCAGCATAGTAGTAGAAACAAATACAGACAAAAGAGCATAGAAATATTATTATGAACTGATTAGTGGATGGTAGCCATCATAGATATCTGTCAGATGGAAAGAAAAGACTTACAAGCAAAATTTCATCCACATATAATCAACTGACAAAATAAAAGACAGATTGAATTAGAAACTGCTAGCATGAAGCAATAACTATTAACGTATGCCAATTCTCCTAAAAAGAATGTCAGTTGATAGTGAATTTCAAGAGAAAGGCAAATTCAATATAGCATTTATTTGTGTACCAATATTTGGCATCTAGAATGTCAGTGGAAATACAAATCAAAGGATGAAAACAGGGAGCTTCTCTTTAAGGCATTAGTACTTCTATTTAAAGCTGTAAGTCATTACATGATCAGTTGTGCTACTTGTGATGAACTCAGGATTCGCATAACAGGCTGATCCTGCTAGAGCCTTTGGATCTATGTCCAGTAGGCCACCAGTAGAATCTTTGCACAAGAAAATTGATGGCAAACGGGCAAAAGACATTGCAAAGTCATTTGGTTATAGAATCCTAAGTAGCAATTCTAACATGGCAAATATGCATAAATCATTCAGAGTCCTGTGTAGACTGACAAACAGGAAGGTAATAAGTATCAAGCTGCCAATACTTGTGTCTCACACCTTGCCAAACTTCTTCTCCCAAGCAATCCTTAACAGGCAGGGGAATCAACTGCACTAAGTAGCCCAAATTCTCGAGTTCTAGGGACACTAGATGGCAATAAACCACATGGAAGAATGCATTACCTCCACAAAGGCCATTGAAGAATGAGTATATCCCTCCAGGCTTAAGTAGCTTGGGAAGATGCTGGTGAAACTCCCTCATATCTTCATAATATTCTCCATATGTGTCAAAGAAAATACCTAAATGGTTTTAGAAAACATTTGAAAGAGTAAGAAAAGATCCTGCAAATGAACTGGTATGCCAGATGAAGACTCTATTGGGTAAACACTAAACAATGAATTTGTTTATCTGATATCCCAAAAAATGTCTAGTATGGAATTTGAAGAATTAAAATGAAACTCAAAATAGCAAAGTGAGCTTCCTTAGTTCTTTTAGCCTGATTTCCAGAAAAGGGGGGTTCTTTAAATCTTCAACAGAACTTTTTTTTGGAAACAACCATGACTACAAATTCTTGATGTCACCCCAGCCATTTCTTTGAGTTTATCAGTTGTGTTTAACCCACATGCTCTGATCTATTAAGGAATAAGGATAAGATAAGTCACATAAAAAACAAATAAAAGAATAAAAATTTATACTGGACAATGTGGCATGGCTTTCAAGACATCATGTAAGTTTCATGGAAAAATTAAACTAATTTTGAAATCTAAATGACAATCATAGGATTTTTGTTCAGAAAGAAAATATACCATCATAAGATTCAAGTTGAGGAAGAACATCTTGCCAACGGCCAAATACTATTTTCACATTATCCCTTTCACCCCAACCATTGCGAAGCATGCGCTCATAGACCTCTGGATGGGCCTCAACAATTGTGTGCTTGGTTGGAGAATACTGCTGAATGGCTGTATCAACAAGACCCATTCCAAATCCAATATTTAGTATATGACCACCTCCAGAGCAAACAGCTTTTGCATGAGCTTCCATCAAGGGTTTCTCCCAAGCCATCATGACAGCCTTGCTATTTGAGTCCATCAGTTTATCCTCGCTAAAAGAAACCCTATCTTCCAAGTAATCCTCATTAGAATCACCATCCTTTTCTGTTTTCCTTGCAATGGTTCCCAAAATCAACTCAGCCTGAATTCCTGCTCAAGTACAGAGACTTATAAAATTAATTCCAAGAACCTACAAATACAATTCCATGTATGTCATTAACTGGTTTCAATTATTCACTTTACCTATCCAATTATCTAAGCCCTTCCATCACTAAAAACAATCGGCTTCAATTACAAGGCTGAGCTCCGTCAAACCATTTCTTTTTTTTCTTTTTTTTTTAATTATTTCTTTGCTTTTCCTTTTCCTTTTCTATGCATCTAAGAAATTTATGCAAATTAGCCAACATATACTTGGTGAACCATCTGCCAAAATTTATAATCTTTTTTATTAAAATCCAAAACTTGAAAAACACAGAACAAGGAGTTATCAGATGGAAGAAAAATTACACAAGTACCAGCGTTGAGGAGGACTTCAAAGGCATCTTGGTGACCTGAATCCATGGCAAAATCACCTGCAGAGAGATTAGATGGAGAAAGTGCGTTCCATGGGGCACCAGCTTCGAGCAGCGCCTTGACTACATCGGCATGGCCAAGCTTGGCGGCGTGCATAAGAGGCGTGAGGCCATTGCTGTCGAAGTAGGAGACATCGGCTCCGGAATCTATCAAAGCTCTAACCTTTTCAAAGTCGCCATTCCTCGCCGCCTCACATAATTGCTCTCCGTCTGCTTCCATGTCTGCGCTTACAGACTGGGAAACTAGAGCCTAGAGATGAAACCCTGCTACTTCGGCCGCGCGACCACAAACTTTTCTTGCAATTGTGATTGAAGGTCTAAAAACTCTAGTTATTTTTCGATTGAGCTCATTTACTCTTAAAAAATTTTAAATGAGTCCGGTAATTTTGATTTTCTAAAGTGAGCTCCACTCACGTAAATAATAAAAATAA